ATGCAAGGGCATGAACTTGGCGAAGACAACTTTGAGTGCACACCGCCACCAAGTGAGAAAGATGAGCGAGGTGTGCATTGATAGCACTTAAGTTGGATGTTTCAAAAATAGGTGTGGAATAAGCAAAGTGGAAGGCTAGGGGGCGTTGGGCTTGGGTGGCGCTGTCTTTCATGATTCAACTGTTGCTGACAACACCGTCCTGAGTCTTTGGTTTTGCAGGCCTGCTCACGCGGGGCGATAGTGAGCAAGCACTCAACGTCCAAGGCACCTATGTGCAAAGAGATCTCCTCAGGAATCCGCCCGCCGAACAACTTTGTTGAGCAGATCTAAATCGTAAAGAGTTTGCTTGTTCAAGTGTGAAAGACTTTACTCTTTGAATCTGCAAATGATCGGCCTTCTTTCCATCGTGTTTTTCCCAGGCCCATCTGAGTTGCGTCTCCAGATGTGCTGTCCTTGGCAACAGTCCGCAGACGTGCCGCCACATCATTCTGCCGGTCCCCAGGCTGGGCACCACGGCCCAACCGTTCTGCAGCCTCTGCGAGACTCAGCATCTGCCCGCCAATGGCCTGGACACGATTCAAAGACTATACAATTTTGTATGACCAAGGATTCGATTTCCTGACATATTGTAATTTGTGCCCTTTCTTCAACCATTTTGCAAACTGTAGCCGCCGCAGTCGCCCCAATTCTGATGGCTGTGCGCGTTGCATATTCAACATCGTATAATTTGATAATATTTAGAGGACGGTAGAACCAGGATCTTCTATGCAATCTTGCTAGCCTTGGACAGGCAAGCCTATAGTGATATATCACCGATTGACTTGCGATTCCCCTTGTCCGTTGCCCTTCTGCCTCGCACCTCTTTGTTTCCAACCTTAAACCTTCGCGCCTACCAGTCACCCGCTTGTATACGTTGATGTGGGTGTGACACAGGTATCCGCATTGACAGGACATTGGAAAACACATGTCAGTTGTCTTTATTTAAAGCGCCCACTGTTTATTTTAACAAAACTATACAAGCATAGACCCCAAACAGCTTCAAAACGATTAGTTTAGACCAATATTAGTCAAAAATCGATTTCTTGGTATGCCCTACTTTCACCCCAAGAGCAAACTGCTTCATCAATGAATTTTCTTGTCGGCATTGACATCGCTATTTGTTCGGCCACACTCCTCTCCAGTAAGCCGGGTCACACAGACCAGCCACAGAGTTCAGGGGCGCGGCCAAGACAAGGACAAGAGGAGCACAAGACCCGGACACAGAGCCGGGCCACAGAGCCACAGAGTTCAGGGGCGGCCAAGACAAGGACAAGAGGCCCACGCGCCATCCATAGCACACGAGCGTGCGCGCGCTCTCTCTCTCTCTCAGTTTCTCTTTCTCTGTCTTTCTCTCTGCAGAGCGCGCCCTGAGCGCGCCTTTCTGGAGCGTATTTCAGAGTGCGCATGAGCGCGCCGTCCATAGGAGCGCGCCGTCCATAGCACACGAGCGCGCTCTTTCTTTCTTTCTTCTCTTTCTTTTCTTTCTTTTCTTTCTTTTCTTTCTTTTCTTTCTTTTCTTTCTTCCTTTCTTCCTTTCTTCCTTTCTTCCTTTCTTCCTTTCTTCCTTCCTTTCTTGCTTTCTTTTCTTTCTTTCTTTCTTTCTTTATTTCTTTCTTTCTTTCTTTATTTCTTTATGTCTTTATTTCTTTCTTTCTCTCTCTCTCTCTCTTTCTTTCTTTCTTTCTTGTTTTCTCTCTCTCTCTCTCTCTCTTTCTTTCTTGTTTTCTCTCTCTCTCTCTTCAAGCTTCTCTTTCTCTGTCTTTCTCTTTGCAAAGCGCGCTCTGAGCGTCCCCTTTCTGGAGCGTATGTCAGCGCGCCCGATCGAGCACCTGCTCTCTTTCTTTCGCTCTCTCTCTCTCTCTCTCTTTCTCTGTCTCTTTCTCTTTAAGTTTTCCTCTCTCTCTCTCTTTCTCTTTCTCTTTCTCTTTCTCTTTCTCTTTAAGTTGATCTTTCTCTGTCTTTCTCTCTGTAGAGCACGCTCTGAGCGCGGCCAAGAGGAGGACAAGAGGAGGACAAGGCCTGGACACAGAGCCCAGCCACAGAGTTGACAGAGTTCAGGGGCGCGGCCAAGAGGACAAGAGGAGGACAAGGGATGGACACAGAGCCCAGCCACAGAGTTGAGAGGTCAGGGGCGCGGCCAAGAGAAGGACAACAGGAGGGCGAGGCCTGGACACAGAGCCCAGCCACAGAGTTGACAGAGGACAAGGCCTGGACACAGAGCCCAGCCACAGAGCCCAGCCACAGAGTTGACAGACTTCAGGGACGGGGCCAAGAGGAGGAGGTTGGGGGGGCGGGCAAGAGGACAAAAAAAGAAAGGGCCTGGACACAGAGCCCAGCCACACAGCCCAACCACAGAGTTGAGAGTTGAGGGGCGCGGCCGAGAGAAGGACAACAGGAGGGAGCCCAGCCACAGAGTTGACAGAGTTCAGGGGCGCGGCCAAGAGAAGGACAAGAGGGCAAGGCCTGGACACAGAGC